GTCGACTTTTAGAAATCCGAACAGCAGTTCCAAAGAGTACCTACATACAAACTAATAAATTTTACCTCTATATAATATTAGTGTAAAATTCCCTAGAGATTTTGCATTTTGCCAATAAATTGTCACAATTACCGAGTGGTTTCGCATTTTGCAAATAAGTTGTCACAAATGAACTTACGAGTAAAAGTAAATAGGTATAGATGTAACTTAAAAGTAACTTATTTACTATCGTCGATGAAAAAACCAATACATTTAAAGAACCGTTGTCTCATCTATATTGTTTGCCGAAATCTCGTCACTTAAGTAACAAAGTTAATGGAATTTTTACTCCCGTTGAGTTCTTTTACTTAAAACTTGGTAACTGAAGATTTTGAGCACATCGTCACCTTACCACCTCTCGTCAGGAGTAAAGTACTTTTAACCTAGTTTAAGGAAGCATTATCTAATGCGGTTATCGTTTATTGGAGAACGTAAAAGCCTCTAACATCCACTACGTGCGAATTTCAAATTAATTGTATGGCAAGCAAGTTTTTTTTTTTTTGTATAGGATAAATATTGATAAGCTGTTATTTCATTTATAGTTAAAGTCAAAATCAATGGTTATAGACTTTTAGAATTCTGACCTTCAAGCGTATTTTTTTGCGTTTTAACATTTTATAACCTTATTTTAACATAGGCAAAAAATCCACGTTGGTCAAAAGTTCATGACCAATGAGGCGGTTGATTAAAACTTTTAAAATCAAACTAATATGAATTCAGTTATGATACACTAACATTAATAATTTCTATTAGAATGAAACCGAAGTTATTTTTGCTTTCTGGAAACAAGCCCATGTGTAGCAAACAGATTGCTTCTTCTTTGGCCCTAGCCCTGAACAGGAGAACGAACGGGATGGTATTTAGTCAGTTAGAGTCTGGCGCTCTCTTTTGGTCCAAAGAAGGCGGAAGAAGTTAATTTATACCCCCTCAAAAACAATAAAACAGTACTTTATTCAATTCAAAATCGAAATACATAACTCAGAATCTATTTTAAGTTATTTATTGATCTCATTTAGGCCTCATTTATATTCTTTTAAGTTGGGTGATCTATTTTAAGATGTATTTATTTTAAATAAATGCCTCATGAATAAAATAGACAAAATGTCGTCACGACCCATCGATTGAAGTTCCAGTGAGTGAGGGAGTGTTGAAAATTTAATGAGATGATTTTATATAAAAACCGTACTTTCTTTCGTCTTTTTCTATGCAATATTATCTATTAACTAAGCTGTTAAAATATTCATGCATCAATTAGGTATATAATATAAATACTGTTTACTTTTATTTCCATTCATTTTTCTTTTTTTTTAAGTTTTGAGTAACTTTGGTGGGGTAAGAGGGAGTGACAGATTCTTTTTTTTTTGTCAGAGTAAAATCATTAAATGACTTCTCCCGCCCAGGAATAGGCGGGAGAGAGTGTCAAACTCTTACTGACTAAACTCCCGTTCCTTCTCCTGCTTTAGACCGAGACCGCGGTGCCACATTGCGCCTACCCCGCAACCCCGGCTGAACATCTGCGCTGAGTGACAGACTGACTAAAATCCATCCCATTTCTTCTTCAGCTCCAGGTCGACATTATTGTGATTTACCCGCAGCCCTGGCTTATTTACTACGTGTTTTGTGCGATGCAGGTCGTTCTAAACAAAAATCTAATGATATCAAATAATCGGTTTGAAATCTTTGATCTCTTAAGCAAGGATAGTGATCAATGAGATTTGGAGAATAGGTCTTTGTTCAACAGGGTGTGGGTATAACGTCTGATTGAAATACAAAAATGATATTTATTTTTATTTTACTTCATGCAAAAAACATTGTACATTGTATTGTACATGTAATTTGACTTGAGAATTCTCTACCACACAACCGTAGATAGTATCGTAGTGGTAGATATTTTCTAGTTTGTATTAAACTAAATATAGTTAGGTCCATACTTTTTTGACTGATTTTCGTTTCATTTTTTATTTGTGTCATTTTTTCCGCTTTTGGATAGCTAAGTATCAAAGAAAATATTTTTTTCTCCCCGTTTTTTTTTTTTTTTTTTTTTTTTTTTTTTTTTTTTGTGAGGGGAAAATCATCAAATGACTTCTCCCGCCCAGGGCCGGGCAGGAGGGAGTGTCAGACTCTTACTGACTAAAAACCCCCCTGTTCCTTCTCCTGCTCTGTGCCGAGGTCGCGGTACCTTATTGCGCTTACCCCGCAACCCCGGCTGAACATCAGCCCTTTAGGGCCCCGTCTGTGGTGGTCTATTGGCTCTTTGAGGCGCGCGCGGAACGCTACGCGCCATACGCTCGGGCCTGGTTCTGGTCGGGCGGCGAGCTGCCCTTACTCGCCGACCGCAGGCCCGTACTTACGGTGGCCGGAGATCGTCCCTCGATCCCCGACGCCCGTAGTGTCGCCAGTTGCGGCTGCTGGGGCGTGAGGAGGAGGATTGCTCCCTCACGCGGGCCGCCTCTCTCTTTGCGAGCATGACTGCTTCACAAAAGGAGGAGACGGCGTCCCAGTTCCTCTCACTCCGCACCATGGCCTCGACTAAGGCCGGGCGCGAGAGGTCGCCGCCGCCGATCACTTCCCTGAGGATACGGCGGTGCTCAGCCCAGGCAGGGCATACCGCTACCGTATGCTCCACCGTATCCTCTAGGTGGTCCTCACAATGACGACACTCGGGCGTTTCCTCCCGCTGAATCCGAAACAGGAACCTACCGAAGCTGCCGTGCCCGGTAAGCACCTGCGTCAGACGGAAGGTGAGGACGCCGTGGCGTCTCTCAAGCCACTCCTCAAAGAGGGGTCTTACCGCTGCTATGGTAGCGTGCCCGGCCCTCGGTTGCGACAGTCGTTGTCTCCACTCTGCCATGAGATCTCGCCGGAGCTCATTCCGCCACGCACTTATTTGGCGCGGCAAAGGATCTTCGCCCCGGCTACGCGCGTCTGCGCGCAAACTGTAGACGCGCGCGAGCGCCTTCGCTTCTAGATCCCACGGCGGTGATCCGGCAAGGAGGTTCGCCGCCTCCCCGGAGATCGTGCGATACCCGCGGATTACTCGTATAGCCATGACCCTCTGGGACGCGACCAGCGTACGAGCCGGCCGCCGCTTCAAGTCCGGCGCCCACACAGGGGCACCGTAGAGGGCCATGGATCGCACAATCCCCATATACAACCTCCGGCAGGAGGCGTTTGGCCCCCCGAGGTTGGGAAGGAGCCGCTTGAGCGCGGCCCCAGACCGTTCCAACTTAGGGGCCAAACGACGAAAATGCTCCGTGAAGTTCCATCGGCTGTCGAGGACGAGACCCAGGTACTTCATCGCCGACTCGACGCCGATGGTAACTCCTCCTGCCGTTACTTGGGACCCACCTGGAGGTGGCGCGCTCCGACGGCCATAGAAGCACATGGCCTCGGACTTGTGGAGCGCCACCTCGAGTCCCAACTGCCGGATCCTTGCAACGACTGTCGCAACCGCTTGTGACATCAGGTCGGCCGCCGCCTGATGCGACCTCCCGTTCGCCAGCACCAGCGTGTCGTCAGCATAGCAGACAATGCTGACGCCGCTCGGGAGGTCGGTGCGTAGCACCCAATCGTACCCGATGTTCCACAGGAGAGGTCCCAGGACCGATCCCTGCGGGACACCGCGCGACACCTCTCGCCGATTCCACACGCCCCGGTGACCGGGGTAGATGACGCATCTGTCCGTCAAGTAAGCCTCGACTACACGACGGAGATTTTTTCTCCCCGTGAATTTTGTATATGCGGTTTTTTATCATATAAATTAGTTTTTAGGTAAACTCACATGAATGAAACTGTCAAAGATAGGTGCTTCTCTGCCGGATATTTTTTCAAAATAAACTATTGTTCATTGTTCCTACTATTATATCGGACAGTTAGTTGAGATAAACTATGAAGTACCTACCCTTATATTAATTTATATGTATTATGTTTGTTAAATCTCGTTTAAATGTTGGTCGTAATAAATCAGTGATAAAAATTATAATATTTATTATAATAATAATGCCCACTCGACACTCATAATCTAAAAAAAACATAGTTTATATTGCAACAAATAAATTCTTCGGAAAGATAATATAATATGAGAGAACGAAAATTTTATTAGAATATTAGGTAGGAACGTGGCTTATGTTTCGGCGAAGAACAGAAAATAATAAAAAATATAATATTTGTTAAAGTCGATATACACTTTTTTGTTAGTCTAAATAATCTATATCGGAACGTTCGGGGATCTTGGTATATATTATTTTATTTCATAAAGATATTAGGCATTATATTCGCATGTTATAACTAAGAAAACAAAGTTTATTTCACATCAATGACGCTTATTGGAGATGAATGACTAGATGAAAAAATGCTATCTTTACTCGTATTTTTTATTTATTTCTTTTCGCAAAATACACGCAATTTGTTATACTGATTACTTAAAAAAAAACCATTTAATAAGACTTACAAAAGTAGAAGTTGCGACAATAATAATAATACCCAACAATAAAATGAAAGAATGGCAACTTTATCATTTTGTTTGTTTTAAATAAAATAAAACAAGAAGTTACGATAAGTCCATTACATGCACAACTAAAATAAATCTATAGTTTTCGTCTTTCATAATGATCTTCTCTTAATACCTCTTAAAACATTTTAGTAATGATATACATACTCTTTATAGTTTTACTAAGCAAACGTGACGTAGACCCAGACGAGTAAAACAAATATGGTGTTAGATCTAAAGATTGCTGATAACAAATGTGATTACAATAAGTAAATATATAGTTTAATTATTACGCGTTATGAAGGAAATACTATGACAATAAATTATTACGTATTAGTAATATAGAATTTACTTTCTTATTGTAAAAGTGTCTTTAAAAATTTCTTGTATTTTTTATCAATCAGTTAGAAAGTAAGTTTTAAATTTTAAGTGTGATTGATATTTTTGAAACGATATGCTCAACTTTACTCACCGGTAAAAACAAAGAATTGGCGACATCGCACGCTAGTACCACAGCAACCATATAGAAGAAAGCTTTCATTGTAAAAGTACCACAAAACACTTCGCGAAAAGAATACGGGAGCGCAACTGAAAGTTGTGCCCGGCTACTCCCAACTTTGCAGTGACGTCGACGTCGGCTTACTTGTGAATGGGACGCGTATTCCCTTCCCTTTATAGGGCTAGTCAGTGTTACTGCGCACCCTGTACTGCGCTCTCTATTTCTCACACACGTGTCACTTCCGTATATTTTTTATATATTCACTTTCGACAACCCTATTAATTTAGGTATCGCAATTTTTCTAAACAATGTTTATTTACGGAAATTGTTCGTGCAAACATTTTTCGAACGAATAATATCCAATAAAAGGATATTTTTCGAAATTAAATTAAACATTTTGCCGGTTCTTAAACACGTTGTCAGTACAAATTCTAGCGTAATGTGTTATCTGTTTGCAGCACGAGCGGATTTATCTGTGCCTTTTATTTGTTTTTCATCGGCAAATATTTTGAACGTTCCATTTAAACAGACATTATAATAGAGTAGATCAGTGTGTTCCGATTTGATTAATGTAGTTTCGTTTCATTGATAACAGCCGGAAATATTTGTGAATACATTTTTTTGTCTCGTGGAATGTGCTCCACGCTTCGATTGAGTGATAATCAGCTAAAGAAGAATAATCTTTATCTATCATTAGGTGTATTTACTCGTACATTTACTATCGTCATAAAGTAAGACTTTGGTCGGATCTTTGTGTAATTAAATACAGTCTACGTCATCCGCAAATCTTTCGAAATGCCGTGTACCTAAGCGACAGTGAGCAGAGTTTAGTATTTAGATTGGGGCTGCGTGTGGGGTATTGTTATGTGCTTATCACACTGCTTATTAAATTCATTCATGATGCCTATCATTTTCCTTATTGCATAAAGTTAGATGTTACGAAATGACGATCTTTTATTTCGATGTTTTCTCCCTTAAAATGTTGGCTTGGTGCTACTGAGCTTACCGGAGGCCCATTACTTTCTCTGCCTTCATCTCAGTATATCCTAAATTTCCGAAACCTTAATCCTCAAAACACTGGCAACGCCCTCAAAAATCCTCTAGTATTACAGGTGTTTAGGGGCGGCCCCGATTGCTTACCATGAGGTAATCTGCCCGCTCGTTTGCCGACCCATTACATCAAAAAAAAAAAATCCTAGATGAAAATGGACGTAAATAAAATACATCATATTCAAATAAGTTTTAGGTAAGTATACAAAAGACGTCATTACTTCGTAGATGAACAAAATACTTTTTATATTAAGAATACATTTTCAAAGTTAAATTTCGAAGCACTTTGGAACTTATTGATAGAACTCGTAATAATATATTATTATAAATCGATTATTTATCATCCTTTGCTCTGGCCTAATTCTGTAGACCGCAGTAATGGCTCACCACCACAAACAGTAATGCTTTGATCTCTCTGTCACTATAAATTAAATAAATAATTGGTACAAACTAATAATAGATAAATCGATTGTAATAATTATGATTTTGAATCTTACAAAAACTTTTTCGTCGACGTTGATATTTTAACACCCAATATCAATAGACGATCTGCATCTATATTGAATCTTATCCAATTCGGGATAAGATCGACTTTTGATTATGTTTGATGTATGGTGTTTCTGTCAAAAACTTAATTCAATTTAGATATTTTGGATTGAGATCGGTTTAACGTGTATGTAAAGGAAAAATTTCAAGTTTTGAAACGCACCCATGGCGCAATAGAGAATCTATATGATCTCATCTCAATAGAGTTTAATCTTAAGTTCAATAGATAACTAGCTATCACTACAATTATACTTAAAAATCATATCTTGATTGAAAATCCTATAATAGACAGAAAGAGATAATAGATCAATGTCCGGAATAAAACATCAACTACTTTCGTTTGGGAAAACTATGAATTAATTTGACTATATTATAAACACTAATTGTGTTTGGTACTTGTTATTAGTGTTGTATATATAGGTACTTATATCAAAATGACTGCACTAATAAAGGTACAAATTTAAAGCACCTATTTTTTTGAGAGAGGAAAGTTATTCGTTTTTTTGATAATTAATTTAAGGTAACATACCATTTAAAAGTAACACGTCCTTGGCCTGGAGCAGGAGAAGCAATAGGGTGATTTTTAGTCTTAATTAATTATTATGTTTTCGGCTTACTCACGTGATAATTTGACGTGATACTCGACTAGTTTCAAGCCATGCTAAAGACCCATATTCATGAGCATCATTCCGCGACACGCGACGCGGCGACTGTCGCGCTGCTACTCAATTTAGAATGGTTCTTAGTCAGTAAAAGTCTGTCACTTCGTCTCGCTTCACTCGATGAAAAAAGCCAGCTGATTTTCAGCCCTCCGAAAAAAAAAACTATACCATATAAATAGTAGGTCACCTGTTCAAGCAAATTAAACTTGAAATCCAGTTAATTTATCACCTTTAAGGTGCAAAATCCCCATTCTAAACCCCCTTATCTAGTGAGACATTACGGTTTCCCTTCATCAACATAGAACCGTCAACAAAAGTGGAACGGGGCAACATTGCTATTAATCTTCAGTTGTTTAAAGTTGTTAGGTAAATGTGAGTTTATTCATCCATATGTTCTGACGACTTCTGTTCGCTAAAGCTTCGAAACTGTTTATATAAATTAGACGAAATTTAAGGGTTATAACTCAGATGAGAATATCAATTATATAAAAGTATGTATAGGTATACCTACATAATATAATATAAGTTTCTTTTTGTTTTATTTTTATTTGATAGGTCGGCAACGAGCCTTGATTTACATGATGGCAAGTAATCGGCGCTACTCATGAACATTCGAACACCAGAGGAGTTACGAGTGCGTTGTCAGCTTTCTGAGATTGGGGTTTCGGAGATTTATGGATTGGGCAGGGGAAGCATTGAGCCGCTGGCCACTCTCACGATTAAACAACGTTGTGGTTGTTTCACGCTAGTTTTCAGTGGCCATGGTATCACTCCGGTCGAGCTGGTCCATTCGTGGCGATGCTTGGCTCTTCCACAATTATATACCTACATATGGTTATAAACGAGAGTATAATACTATCAGTTTCAATAAGATGACAACAATAATCTTTCTTTGCACTCGGCAGGTATCGGTTTCAAGTTATTTTATTTAAAGCTTTTTTTTAAATAATATAACTTTTATTACACAAAAATCTTTTGCACCTATGTGGACAACTTATGTAAATTATAGTTTCGTCTACAGTACCGCGTTATTATGATATGCGTAGAATTTGCTTGGTTATCAAAGTACAAAATAGTTGTTTCCAAATACGATCATTAATTGAAAGATCAGAGCAATAATTATGGGTATAATCGCTTGGATTAATTAAGTTCGTTAACTGTGTATTAACTAATACCTCGTTAAGCAAATCTCGTCTTAAAATAGTACAGCGAATAACATTCAATGTGATTATATTGACAATGTAATAATATTAACATGTATTTTGGTCTAATATACCTTACACATCCAAACTAATCCAAATTAAACTTTAATTTTTATTAAACTACTGAACCGATTTATGTGAAATTTGGTACAGACATAGTTTGGAACTCGAGAAAGGGCATAGGATAGTTTTTATACCAAAAATCTGCAGGACGTCACTATTCCATGCGAACGGAGTCGCAGGCAATAGCTAGTATACAATAACTAGCAACTTAAAGTATTTGATCACAACAACTTTATTTTAATTTCAGTAGCAATTGGTTGTTGATTGCTGTTACGGGTGCGATGTATCTGTATGAAATTGTGTTTTCATAAACGCACCCACAACACAGGAGACAATCTTAATGTGGGGCAACGTTTAACACTGGTTATTTAAATACAACTCTTTACAATGTTACAGTGCGGAAACTGAAAAGAAAATTGAAGGAAACAGAATGTTATTTTATTCCTACGCTTACTTTATTTTGTTATAGTAGTTACAGCTTCACTCGAAAACTCAAAAGTACCTGTTTATGTTGTTTGATTGTAACAAATGATTTTGACTTTGACTTTAAAACGTATGGCTCAAGTACGTATGAATCTATTTAGGTTTTACTGGCACCTTTTTGTATTACAGTTCTAAAAATAGGTTGGTTGCGTAAATAGCAACTCATATCGCGATGACTAGGCTGTAGCTAATTAGTTATAAACCTCTTACAAAGGCAACTCTGCAAAAGATTGCTACATTGCAGCGTTTGCTTTCAATTGATGGAATTCAAAGCCGCATGTGAGTAATGATGACTCATGCTTTGAAACGTTTTATTTGAATGCAGAAAATAATATTAGTTCAACAAAATAAACCAGCGGAAAGCAAAACTTACGTTATGTTTCGCCGTGTGAGTGAGGTTACCGTAGATCCAATCTTGCCCCCTCCCGGTATCCCACCACAATCTCTAAATCACTAAACCCTAGAAGGCTTTCGTACTCAATCCTTAAATCCCCTATTCTTAAATCCCTAATAAACACAAGAGGCCGGCAATGCACTTAAAGCAACTCCTTTGGTGTTACGAGCGCCCGTGGGCAGCGCCGATTGCTCAAAAAAAAAAAGTAACTGAGTGTTTGTTTTTGTTTCGTAATGCCTTTTCTATTCACTGAATCTTCTTTTTGCAAGCATAACTATTAGGAGCAACGAAAAGGACGAAGTGTTATTTTCATCCCGAAAAATTGAAGTCTCTCTCTCTCTCTTTCTCTCTCTCTCTCTCTCTCTCTCTTTAGGCCAAGTCACGGTACCTATAAAATAATATACATATATAATAATTCGACAACATTATTTTTCTAAAAGAATATTGTGAAGGTGGAATTACTTTGAAGTCTGTCAATAAAATTAATAGGGCGTAGATATTACAACCTACATTTTAGGTTTTATTTTTAAAATGATTCCATTTGGTGACCTAATTATGATTTCCCTTCTGCCTCTTCCGAATAATACTATATTACTTGTAAATCTGGTATTGAAACCGATGTTATGATGTCATGTTACCTGTGAATTTATAATGATATAATCTAGGTACGTGTGAGTGTGCTTATTGGAGGCCAAACCCTCCCCCCCTCCATCCTCAATTCCCAAATCCCTTAAAACCTACAAAACTCCGGTAATGCATTCGTAAGTCTTTTAGTGTTATAAGTGGCCATGATTGCTTATCATCCATACTGATCCGTATGTTTGTTTGCAGATCTCATAAGTTCCTTTTTTTTCTTTACGGGAAGAAACCTTCAAAAGGCGCCTAGCTTATGAAAAAAAGGCTAGGGAGTATGGGACTACTTCAATAAAACCTCTACGGTAGCT